CAGGGTCCAGGAAAAATAAGATCTTCCTCAGTAAATGGAGCAGCGGTGCCATGGAGATGTGCAGTGGCCACCACCACTTCTAGCTCTTGCCTCTTGTTGTACTGTGTCAGCAGATGGGGCACAGGTACTTACCAGAGCTTTCTGATTGAGCACGGGCGGGTCCTAGGCCTTCTAGCAATGGTTGGGCCATCTATTTTCGGGTATTGATCCATCAGCCCAGATCCTATATGGGCACCCATCCCTCCACAGAACCAGACTGGGCCTCATCCTCTGTGTTCTAGGGTTGAGCTGCAAGTCTGATTTGCATCCAGGTCATGGTCTTGTTGGAGCACAGTTAATGGAGGAGAGAAGTACCCACTGGGAAGACAAGTTTGGAAAGCTTGGACTTGGCTGGCCACCTGAGCTGGGGGACAGAGGGCAGCCCGGTGCAGCCTCACATGGGTCATATGAGAGCGCCACACTTGTGCCTGCAGTGGGGGAATTCTCCTCCACACAGGTAAGCCAGCAGGGGACTGTGACCGCATGGCCTCCTGCGCCTGGGCTGACCCAGGGGAAGCTGCATGCAGTTGCTGGTCTCTAATGAGGCTTCCTAGCCGCCCACCATCTGCCCAAAAGGGCCGGAGACGGGGAAATAGAATCCGTGCATTTCAAAATCCAGAAGGAAGGGAAACTCCACCCGGGAAACATAACCCCAAGTACTGTGCTTGGAAGCAGGATGTTTAATTGCCAAACCTTTCTTGAGACCCAGCTGCCGGGTAATGTTATCTTGGCTGTTCCTGAGACCAGAGGGGGTTTATCTGGGCCCCTGACGCAGGCTCGGTAAACAGAGCTGGCTTTCTCGGGTGACCTCCGCCCTGTCCCCCTTTCCAGCACCTGCTCTTTCTCTGCAGTTTATCTCTAAAGTTTCCAGCGCCAGCAGGGAGACTTAAGAAACTCTGGTGTCAGGGTAGGGCTGCTAGGAATAGGCCAGGCTGGAATTTTGTGTCCCCATCACTCATTTGGAGGGATAATCTAGGATATTCAAGGTTTGGAAGAAAGCAGACAGGCCGATGAGAGAACAGGCTCTGGAGACTGTCCCCGTGTCCTGGGCTTATCTCTAGAGAGGACTTTGACTATTTCCTCAATGCAGGGAGCCTCTCGCACATCCCAGAAACTTCAGAGAAACTGAGAGTCTACCCCCTGCCATTGTGCCATGCTTGTGCCACCTGGGGCATAGGAAGGGAGGAGCAAGGTGTCAACAGGAGCAGTTCTTTGCCAAACAAGGGAATAAGTTTTTTTGTTTGTTTGTTTGTTTTTTTCAGGGGGAGGGGGTATGGCCCTGTCCTGGCTGTGTGGCTATAACTGATAAGGGTCATAGGGACAGTTTTCTGTCACCCCTTTCCTCTGACCATTTCTCCACAGCATGCATTTTTGGTGTGGGTCCAGGTCAATGGACCCACAGAACAGAAATGGTTCCTATAAGTTTTCAAAAGACAAAGGACTTTTCCAAGGGCGGGGGCATGTTTAGTCATGTGCCAGCTAGTCCTAGGCTAGGAATTGGGGGGGTCTGTGTCCCCATCCCAGCTTTTCCACTAAGAATGAGCATCCTACAGTGATAACTGAGCATGCATCAGGCCTTGCAGCCCTGAAGGTGGTGACCACTGTATGGGGGAGTCTGAGGGTCTGGGAGGCTGGGTTGAGGTCTCCCAGCCTCTAACAAGGTGGTGGTGGGAGTGCAACCTGGCTGTGGCTGTCTCCAGAATTCACTCCTTACCTGACCATCCCCATTGCCAAGACACGGTGCTGGGCCCTAGGTTCCTCTTCCGCCAAAGAAGAGGCCATTTAGCATGTGTGAGTCCCTGGGTTTGATCCTCAGCACCACACACACACACAACACACACACACACACACACACACACACACGCCTCCCCAGATCCCAGCTGCCAGGGACTGTGAGCCTGTGATTAATTCTCTCTGGGAGGTGAAGGGAAGCCCCTAATTGCTCCGCAGGGTGGAGGGTGGGTGTTAAGCCCCAGTTAAGCCCTTCCTCTGGGCTCCGCTTGGTTGGCCCAGGAGAAAGGCTGCTGTCTGTGTCCTGCAGGGGCATTCAAGCGCTTTCTCTCCAGGCTGGCAAGGCCACTCGGGGCCTCCTTAGGTTCAGCAGGCAACACCTGGCAGGTGCACACAGCTGCTCCCCGCCTGGGGACCTGTGGGAAGGGAAAGTGCAGATGGAAGTGGGGCCGGGGAGAGATGGAGCCGGAGGTCAGCAGCGGGAATGGGGTGGGTTCTAACGTGTGGAAATCCCAGCGCCTCCTGCCTCATCAGTGAAGCCTCTGGTGCACACGGTTCCTCTGTGGTGGTCTGGGTTCATAGCAGTCCTAACCACCGGCTTCTGTCTGGGCCCAAATTCTGTCTCTTCTTGGTCTTGAGCTCTCAGGGTTGCCTATACTGCACCCTGTCTCCACCATGTTCCTCTTGGCCACCCCCCTGAGCATGTGCTGGCTCACACTTTTCAGGTCACCTGAAGCTTTATTTTAAAAGATATCTTTCAGGCCTGATCAAGTAGTTTGATTACAATATTCACACTCCCACATTTTCATATAGGGAGATAGTCCAGGGGCTATGGTTTGAGTGTCCCCTCCAAGCTCAAGTTGACATTTAATTTCCAGGTAACAGTGTTAAGAGGTGGGTCCTTTAAGAGGTGAAGCGGTCATGTGGGCTCCGCTCTCCTAAATGGATTTATGCTGCCATCGTGGGAGTGGGTTCCTGATAGAAGGATGAGTTCAGCCCTGATTCCTTTCTGTCTCTTGCATTCACTTGCCTTTCCACCTTATGCCATGGGATGACCCTTGCCATATGCCAGCACCATGGTCTTGGATTTCCTAGAGTCCAGAACCAAAGCAACTTCTATTGTTTATAATTTACCCAGTCTCAGGTATTGTGTTGCAACAGCAGAAAATGAACTAAGATATCCAGTATGGTCAAGAACATGGGGTGTGGACTCAGCTAGATTGGGTTCAAGTTTTTTTGCTTAATATGTTACTGGTTATGGAGCTCAGTCAAGTTACTAACTTCTTTGAGCCTCTCCTTTTTCCTGTGCCATGTGAAGATACCACTGGTTGCTACTTTGTGGGGCTGAAGATTAAATGAGCTAATAGGTATAAATACTTTATACTGTACTAGCATGTCGTCACATTTGATTACCGAAACATAAGCTAACACTTCGTTAGCTAAGTGGTTTTACAATTTATTGTATGAGACATACATTTACATATGATATAAAGCAAAGCATATCCATGTCTATTTATTATAATAAGTCAATAATTTATTTTGAGCTTGTGAAGGTAGGGATGGCCTTTTATTTAATGTTCTTCCTTATCAGGATCTCATGTCAGAAATCTCTGATGGCAACATCCAGTCCTAGTTGCCTGGCTTTATGGCTCTTTCCTCAGTTGCATTTGGGAACAAATTCTCCCCACAGCATGAGTCTGGCTCCGTGACTTAGCAATGGAAGGGGAGGAAGCACAGTTACCTGAATGCCAAGCATGCAACCTGGGCATTCACGGGCAAGCCCCCCCGGTCCAGGCAGCAAGGGAGGGCAGCCAGTGTGTGCCCAGGGTCTAAATGCTGCTCTTCGCTCACATTCTCTCCCCTCACCATGGCCTGGACCCTAGCCTTCTCTGGCTACGTTGGTCTCCTCACTGGTAGTGTCCCTCCAGACCTCTGTAATCAGAATCACTAGGCAAAGCCTGGCAATGTGCATTTTTGCAGGTCTCCCAGGGAATTCTGATAGGCATCCTGGTGTGGGAACCACCACTGGGGACTTACAGCTTCTGCCTCTCTCCTGAGGTCTCACCTGGGTTACATCTGGCCCAGGTACTCACGGAGTTCAGCACAAGAGCCCTGTGGTTATGGGAGATGGCCCAGCTCTCTAACTAAGGCCTCTCCCAGGAGGAACAAAAATAGTGGGAAGAGCAGGCCGGATTGTGGGCAGGAGCTCTCTCTTCTTCTCCAGCAACCTAATGGCCCAGACACCTTCCAGAATGGTTTGAGGCAGTAGCCCTGCAGAGCCTGAGGGGGCCTTGGGAACTGGGGTGACAGTCTGGCCCTGAAACATCTTCATTGCAAGAATCCCACAGAGAAAAGGTCGCAAATGAGCTAACGTCTCTTCTGTGAATCTGCTTCTTATTTTACAATCCTGTTTGATTGTTCAATGTAGCAAGATCTTTCCGAGTACCTGCTCTGTGCCAGGCACCAAGCTAAGACTTAGGGACACTTAGGTGACTTGCAGCTCTCTGAAGGGCTTATGGTCTCTGAAGCATTGTTCAGAGTGAGCTGAGGATGAACGCAGCGGAATAACTTGGGCTTATTGAAAGTGTAGATGTCCGAGTCCCCGTGCCCTGGTCTGCCTATGCAGAATTTTAGTGAGTGGGACCTAGGTACATATAATTTTGGAAGATCCCTCATGGAATCTTCTAAAATTACTCTAAAGTTTGAGAACCAGTAGATCAACCACCTTAAAAACAAAACAAAAAAACCGTAATGACCCCAATTTTATGTTCATTGTATATACATATAAAAAAGGAAATTAGGGGCTGGGATTGTGGCTCAGTGGTAGAGTGCTCACCTAGCGCGCACAGGGCCTTGGGTTTGATCCTCAGCACCACATAAAAATAAATGAATGGAATAAAGATATTGTGTCCAACTACAACTAAAAAAATAAATATTTTTAAAAAGAAGGAAATTAAAACCACTTGTTTTAATCTTACCCTTCTAATAAAATCATCATTAACATTTTATCGAATGTTCCTCTAGATGTGTGCAGGTCTGCATGTGGGTGCAATGTATTCAGATGTATATTGTAGCATCCACATGGTACCTGACATTTATTTCTAGGGGGACAGATGAGACAAGAAGCATGGCCCTGGCCCTGGTGCACCTACACACATGTAAAAGATGTCCAGCACAGCTTGAAGGCTTGCCTTGGTCACCTGCTCACCTGCTCTTCCCTTTTCCCACAGGTATACATTATCAACGTGACTTGGTCCGACTCTACCTCCCAGACCATCTACCGGAGGTACAGCAAGTTCTTTGACCTGCAGGTGAGTTGGCTGGAGCTCAGATGGTGGCCCGAGTCTTTCTGATGGACTGGCCTCTCATGACGTCCCTCGTCTAGAGAGCCCCCATCAGAGCCGTCATGGTTGGAATTGAGGTTGGTGCAGAGGGACAGATGAGGGAAGCTGTGCTTGTCCGTCTGGGATATGGCACGCAGACACTCATGGCATTATTGACTTGCTCAACAAAGAGGCAGGAGGATGGCTGTGGGTGCTACGGCCTGAGCAGACATGTCTGTAAACATTCAGGATGAGACACAAGCCGCCACATCATTTCAGGCAAAGAAAAGCAAACATGAGGAGAAGACCAAAACAGAAAATAAGCAACTTTTTGAACTCCAGACGCAAACTGGGCATACCACTGTGTCTGCCTAACCAAATAAGGCACTTGCCACCCAGTCTGTACATGTGGATGGTAGGTGTGTGTCTCTAATTCACACAGGCATTGTTCTCACAGGGGGATGGTATTACAGAGCCTGCAGTTACCACTGCAGACACCCCTTGGTGCCAACCAGTTTAGTTAGTCTTCTTTTAGTGACAAGTGACACTTTTACATTTATGCTGGTTGAGACAAAAATATATCTGGGAAGCTTATGCAGCCTACCAGATGGAGAGAATAGCAGTGACTTTGGGCAAACCTAAGCCCCAGATCAGCTTTCCCTCTGTCTTTTCTTTGTTTCCCTCTGACACTGTCCTCAGCTTCTATTCCCTCACACCCTGGGGTGCTTGACTGTGAAGAGTTCTTGAATTTCTTATCTGTGGTTCCCAACAGCAGACACACTGACTCTCTCCCAGTTCCAAGTTGACAAACACAAGGGAAGACTCTGATTGGCCTAACTTGGGTCAGGTGCTCTTTCTCGACCAATCAGAATGGCCAGGGATAGAGGGCCATATAGAACAGACAAGGCCACCAGGGAGTCTACTTCTGTGTGTCAGAGGCAAAAGTCAAAGAGAGAGAGTCATTGCAAGTTGACTGAGGTATTCTAGATTCTTCCTCAGGGTGTGAACTTGGTTACACTGAGGTATTCTGGATTCTTCCTCAGGGTGTGAACCTGGTTACACAGACCAGAGACACCCACTCCTAGCCCTCAGGACAAGAGTTCACTCCTTTGCTTGCTTGCAGGCCTTTGATGGTGGGTTATCTGAGAGGCAAGACTGAATGTTTACCCCCTAATACCTGATTTTTATCTCCTGTCCTTATTGTGCTTCCTCTGAGACAAACCAAAGGTAATTCAGCTTCCTATATTACCTTCCTTTATTCCCTGGTCATTCTGACTGAATGTCCCATTGCATATGGGATTGAGAGCCATTCCTTATCCTCTGCCTTCTTTCTCTTCCTCTTTCAGTTCCTGTCCAGTCTCCTTGGGTCCTTCCAGCATAAACTGGTGGGATTTGCTGACACCCCATCAATGAGTACAGTGTGCCGGACAGGAAATGATAACTCAGTTGGGGAGAGGCAACCTGAAAGGGCTCATTGATGAGTGGGATGAGGTCTGAAAGCCAGTGGAAACTTCCAAATCAGGACTTTTCTTCCCCCCCTTCCGTTCTGGCCCCCTACTCCCTCCCTAGAATCTCACAAGAAAGGAATTTGCTTCCCCTCTTCTCCCTTGCCCAGAGGGCTCATTTCCTGCATGTTGGGAGGGGACACAAGCATGGAACAGCTTGTCGTGATGGCCAGGCTTGTCCTTGTGGGTCCTTACCATCAGTGTGCCATTATCTGTGGTTCCCACATCTGCAGATTCAACCAACTGCAGATCAAAAATATTTGGGAAAAAAAGTTTCTCTGAATATGTACAGACTTTATTCCTTGTCATTATTCCCTAAACAGTGCCGTAGAATAGTTGTTTCCAAGAAATCTAGAGATTTAAAATACGGGAGGATCTGCACAGGTTATATGCAAATACTGTGCCATTTTATATAAGGGACTTGAGCACCAGATATTTTGGTATTGGTCCTGGAACCAATCTTCTGTGGACCCCGAGAAATGACTGCAGATACAGCTGGAGGGGGTTGAGCCGGACCTTTGGAATTTAGCCTTGGAATCCAATATAGCATCTTTGCGAGCCCCCTCACACACCTTGTGACTTCTCCCATTCATTTTCACTTTCCATAGTGTTCATTCACTTATTTTCATGACTTTCTGATTTATCAGGATTGCTGGTTTTAATATGGTAGCTCCTATAGAGGAAGAGAAAACGGAATGTGTAACTCTGGTTTTCTAAGAGGCTGTGTAGAGAGGCATGTTGCCTGAGACTGGTTCCTGACTGTCATCATGTAAATCTGCAAAGGTTCTTTAACTGCTCCAGACTCAGTTCTCTGATCTGCAGAATGAAAGCCTGAATGGTATTCACTTGGCAGGGTTGTCCTGAGGATTTGATGAGGTATCACAAGTGATGAGATGTTGGGCTGTGCTGTCCAAGGGGCCGGGGCTTTGGATCTATCCCATGTGTGCTTCACCCTGCAGATGTCCTGCTGTGTGCTGGAGTATTCAGAGTATGCAGGCACAGCCTCTCTCTGGAAGGGGCCTCTGGGGCAGGCCAGAGTAGATGGGAAGCACGGGTGGCCCACAGGCCTGGTCTCAGAACCATCTTGCCCCTCCCCTTTCTGACTGAGCCCCACCTCCCCCTGACCATAAAGGCCCAGGCTCAAGAAGCCAGCCCAAGGAAAACTGCATGTGGTTCTGGGCCTTCTTGGGGCTACAGACCCATTGGTGAATCTGGTAGAAACCTTTTCCCCAGAAAAAGCGCATATACGTACAATTTTACTTACAGCAGCAAGTTTTCACGGACCCCTAGTGGGCCTCTAACAAAGAGCCACCGAGCCAAACTAGTTTAGATCATGAATTTTGCATTCCTTTCTGGTGCTGCTTGGGCACCATTTGGGGATCTATATATGGCATTCTGAGGATCACATGTGGCCTGGATATCCCTTTGATGGTACCCTGGGCCACACTCCCCCCCAGCACAAGTTGGTTACTCTGTCCCCAGTGTGGGATGTCCTTATGTATTCCCCCTGATTTCTCCCCTGCCACATGGTGTCTTTTGCCTCTGGTGGAGGTCAGGTTACCACAAGAAGGCTTTGGGTTCCCACCTCTAATGTAACTCAGGAATCGTGTGCAAGGTGATACCAAATGAACCTGACCCTCCTCTGACAGTGAGTTGAGGGCCATGGGGTATATTCAGATCCAATCTCATCCAGAAAAGCACACTTCCATTTTTCCCTCTAGGGGGCCAGCAGGGAGATGCACATCCATGCCCTGCCCTGCATGTCCCAAGCCATGAGGTCAGAGAGCAATTAAAAGGTGCTGTGTTGCAGACCTGACCAGAACCCCCAGACTGGGCTTTTCATTTCTCTCTGTTGCAGAGTCCAGGACAGTACCATCCCCCACCCCACTCTATTCACACTGAGATTCGGGATGTCACTCTGGGTTCCCATCTTCCTCTGCTGGGACCTGACTGCTCTGTACATGGAGAAAAACCCCTGGGCATGGACAGGTTCAGGCACACAGCTCAGCAGCCAGCCCCGAGGGGCAGCAAGAGGGAGCCAGCGCCAGAGGGCTTGCACTTGTGACCTCTTTGAGGTGACCCATGGCATTACTGAGCCCGCTACAGGGCACTTAGACCTCTGATGGTACACAGGTACAGAGAAGGTGTGCAGAGAAGGTGGTTCTTCATAGGCCATAGGGGAAATTGCAGGGCTAGGGGAGAGAAGGCAGAGAAGTCAGAGATGGCAGGTAAGTGCTCCTGCAGCGCTTACCCAAGCCTTAGCCTGGGCAGGGCAGATCCTGTTATCTCGCTGCTCCCTTCCCACCCTGCCACACACCTTCCTCACTGCTGGCTAACTGCTTCTGGCAAAGCCCCCAGTTAAGGTTGTCAGATAAGTACCAAATGTCCTATAAGCTGAATTTCAGATAAACAACAAATTCTTTTTTTTTTGTATATGTATATTCCAAATATTACATGGGAAGTACTCACACTAAAAAAGCAATTTGTTCTTTATGTGAAATTCAGAAGTTTACTGTGTGTTCTGCATTTTTATTTGCTCAATCTGACAGTCCAACCCTGGCTATGTGAGTGGTGAGAGTGGAAGCACAAAGAGAATGAGACACATAAGCCTGCACAGAGCTTGCCAAGGCATTTGTGCTTTGCAGAGCAAAAATGGCACAGGCTGAGAAGCAGACTTGAGCAGGACAAGGTCTCTTCCTCCCGGGAGTCTATATCTAGTGGGGAGAGAAGACTTTTATTTATTTATTTATTGGTACTAGGGATTTAACCCAGGGGCACTCAACCATTGAGCTACATCCCCAGCCCTTTTTATTCTTTGTTTTTGAGACAGGGTCTTGCTAAATTGCTTGGGACCTTGCTAAGTTGCTGAGGTTAGTCTTGAACTTGCAATCCTCCCTCAGCCTCCCGAGCTGCTGGGATTACAGGCATGCATCACCACGCCCGGTGGAGAAAAGATTTTTTAATAATTAGTTCACTGTAGATGAGATAAATACTAGATTGGGGTACAAAAAACATGCTCTGCGGGATTGGGGTTGTGGCTCAGTGGCAGAGTGCTTGCCTAGCACATGCGAGGCACTGGGTTTGATCCTCAGCAGCACATAAAATAAGTAAAATAAAGGTATTGTGTCCAACTACAGCTAAAAAACTTAAAAAAAAAAATGCTCTGTGATAAAGAGGAAGGAAAGTGCATTTTTCCTGGGAGGCAGACAGAGTACACCCGTATAGTCTCAATTGGTGGTGGTAGCCTGGAGTGATAGACATATGCCCCCATCCCTCCTTTGGGGGGATTTGGTTGGGTTTTGAGAACCACAGTTATTGGAGTGAAGTGTGTCCCTAATTTATTTGTTAGCTTGTTCACCCATGTATTTCTGCTTCTTCCCTCCCTCCCTCCTTCCCTCCATCCATTCAACAGGTAGGTAGTGTCTGCCCTCCTCATCCCCGGTGGTGTGCTAGGCTCTGGGGGCACACTGATCTGGTTCCTGA